TATAGGGTTTCTGAGGCTGTAAATCTTTATGGGAGCAGAAAGCCTCATCTTTCTCCCACGGAACAGCTGGTAGTTTTGAACTGCTGACCTTGCGGTTCACAGCCTGATTTGTAACCACTACGCTACCAGAGCTCCTTAGGGACCCTGTGTACATACTTGACTTCTCGTGTGGCACTATAAGATCAGCACTGGACTGCAAACCACAAGGTCGGTGGTTCAAACCCACCAGCTGCTCCTTGGAAACTCTATACAGGGTCACTATGAGTTGGAATGGACTCGATGGTACTGACAGCAATATATATATATCCGAGGCTATAAATCTTTATGGGAGCAGAACACCTCATCTTTCTCCTGCACAACCGCTGGTAATTTTGAACCGCTGATCTTGAGATTAGCAGTCCAATTCATAACCACTGTGCTACCAGAGCTCCATCAAGGCGGTTCCAAGTCATAGCAACTCTGTACAGGGTTTTTGAGGAGTGGCTGGTAGGTTTGAACTGCTAACCTGGTGGTTCCATATGACTGGGCGAATGAGTTATTAAAATACATCCAGTTAAATTATGCTCCTTTCCCCTTATACATCAGTCGTCAAACATAATTCCTAACACAGTACATTTCTACCTATTTTTGAAGCTGAGAAGCATGCTGGGGTTTCCTGCGTTACAGCCTCAGTGGATGACATACAGTTTGAGGAGCTTGCGAGGTAAGTTGCATTGCTCCATCAGTCCTCTTTCCTGTGTCCTCTAGCTCATTTGTGACATGCATCTGTGACACCTAAGTTTATTCTTTTGGCATCAGTGATTGGATTTGTTAATAAAACAAATGAAATTTGACTCAATGTAAATCATTGGAAAGTAATCATAGGGTTTATTTTTAGTAAACACTATAGGTACAAAATTATAGTCTTAATTTTACTGAGGAGCAGCTCTTAACATTAGATGCATTTTAGTATAAGGCATAGCAGACTTTCCGTAAGCTGATTCTTAATGGTTCCCTCAACTATAACAAGAATAATTCATGATAATATCTATATCCATTGACGGACTCCATCATTAGGTTATTGGGTAAACACATTCATCTGAGTGTAGTTAGTAAATTATAAAAAAACATTTTATGTGTGGTAGTGTATATGTGCCACAACATCTCTTATTGTAGGAAAGTTAAAAATTCACAAACACTTTAAGCACACACACAAGAACGGGGAAGATATGATGCATCTGAACATACCCAATGCCTAGCTACAACACTAATCCATTTGTGGACACCTTGTTTCAAAGATTCACCTTCGCATTCCTACACACTCCTGGGTTCTTTTTAAGCAAATCTCAGGTAGCTTTATTGTAAACATTTTGTATATATTTGTCAAAGATAAAGGCTCTTTTATAAAACAGAAGAATATAACCACAATACCATTGTCAGAAATTATCATTCCCAGTGATACAAGTGTATTTTGTTTACATTTTTAATTTAGACAACTAACTTCTTGAATCAGGACCCCAAAATATGACATTTTGTTGATATAACTCTTAAAATTTTTTTATTCAGAATTTGTGCTTCCTTCTTTTTGCTTGCAATTTACTTAATAAAGAAACCAAATCATGTGACCTATATAAGCTATCATATATTTATTTTTGTATTAATGTAGTCTTTGATAAACTCCTGTTTCCTTTGTATTTCTTATAAACTGATGGTCAAATCTATAGGATGATCTTCTTAAGGTTTGCTCTTTTGCAAAAGTAGTTTCTATTAAGAATACATCATCTTTGGTGATCATTGCTTAGAACTCTGCCTTCAGCTCTACCTTTTCCTCCTTATTCATTATAAGGAATTCTTATATAGAGGTAAATGCTCTTTAGTCAATGATTTTGTTACAATGAGACAAACTTTGTCAAAGAAAGATGGGTTTAGCTCTTTCCTTTTATTTCATATTCTTATCCAATTTAATAAGGAACTCTGGTAGCGTAGTGGTTACAAATTGGGCTGCTAATTGCAAGATCAGCAGTTTGAAACTACCACCTGTTCCGTGGGAGAAAGATGAGGATTTCTGTTCCTTTAAAGCTTTACAGCCTCGGAAACCCTGTACAGGGTCGCTATGAGTTGAAACCGCCTCCACAACACATCACCACCACCATCCAGTTTACTTTCATTTTAACATATTTGCTGTGGTTCAACTCACTGATGTTGTATTGTTAGTGATGCCCAAACCATCCCATCTTGGCCAGTGAAGTCTCAATTTGTCTAAAATCCTTTCGCACAACCCGTAAGTTAAGAATGTTTGCGAATTCTCTTGCTTTCTGTATGCTAAGATGTTTCAGGGTCATCTTTCCCATTTCTGAGTACAAATTTACAGTAAGTTATTTCCATTTTTTATGAGACCTATACAAATAGGAAAAAAAATTTTTTTTTTTTGAAAGTTACATACAAAAAAAAATTCATTAAGATGGTCTATATGCTATATTAGATACTAACTCTTTTTTAGTTTCACCAAAAGTACAACTATAGGTTCCATAGGCTATAGAGATGATCCACACCAAAACCACTGCCATGAAGTCTATTCAGACTCATATGAAGGGTTTCCCAAGTCTGCAAATCTTCATGGTAGCAGAAAGTCTCATCTTTCTTCCGTGGACTATCTGGCAGGCTTATACTGCTGGCCTGTGATTATCAGCCCAATCCTTATCCTACAGTGCCACTTAAGTGTGGCATAATTGCTGAGGACAGTGGCCATACAGGCTGGTGAGAGTCAGACAAACATTTGTTATTGTTAAGTGCCGTAGAGTCGGTTTCGACTCATAATGACCCTGTATAGGGTTTCCATGGAACGGCTGGTGAGTTTGAGCCACCAACCTTGTGGTTCAAACTGACCTTGTGGTCTAGTGCTTTATCCCACAGTGCCATCAAAACAAAAACAACGAACACTTATCAAAATAGAAAACATGATGGAATGCATGCCTGGTGACTAAAAGACTGGTGAATTAGGAAAATAAACTTCTTTGGGAAGTTTGAATATGAAAAAGAAGGGAAATTTTTGAAATACTTGTAGGATAAATTTGAGAGTAAAATTTTTAGAAAGACAAGAGCATTTTCATAGCTTGATAGGGAATTATCAATTAGGAAAGATAGAAGGTACAAAAGAGGGAGGCGCTGGCAAAACAAGGTTGATAGTGGAGGAGAAAAACTGTGAGTTGGGTCAAGGATACCTGGAAATAAAGAAGTTAGGTCAGAGGTGTCTTTCCCTCTGAAACAGAAGGATAAAGAGAAGAACAATGAAGAGTTAGCTCAGCTTTGAAGGTAAGGTAGAAAAATTGAGACACCTCATAGGTCAGTGGTTCAAACCCACCAGCCACTCCTCGGAAACCCTATACAGGGTTGCTATGAGTCAGAGTCAGCTCGATAGTACTTAGCACATCCACACACACCATATTGGAAGAACTCTTACCTTTTGTTAAGGTGAAGGGACAAAAGATGGATTCAGGGCCTGAACAGGGAAGGAAGAATTAATTCTGAGTTACATGATCAGAGTTCTAATAATGGGAAGTAATCATCAGGAGCCTGTGTAAACCTACAGATGCTGATCCATTTGCTTGCTTCTTTTTTATTTGTTTATTCCATTATTTGCTTATTTTAACTGAAAACTTAAAATAAATATCATTTTATGGGTTTATTTGTTTTAACTTCCCTTAAGGAAAAATGGCTTAGTCAAATATCTATTGGAAATTTGGAAGTCAAGCTGTATCTTATGTTTCAAAAGACTCTTTTCTGTTTAAATGGAGTTAGTAGACTAATGTATGGCACCCATTACAGTGTAGTTGAAAACAACCAGCATCTGTTTTGGGTTTTGGTTTTGTGTACAACATTGAATTTATTTTGGTTTGGGGATAATTGGAACCATCTATCCTGAAGGATGGTTTTCCTTTAGAATGGATTAAAAGATAAATAGGTATTTTAGGAAGAGAGAATTGGAGAGATAAATTTCCCATTCCTAATTTTTCAAACATATACACCCACAGGTGCTTTGGTAGTTTGGTCATATATAGACTGGGTTGGAAGCAAAGATGGATTCTTTGGCAAATGTCCTTCAAGTGGGAGGCAAGTTACTATTTTTGCCAGTCTCTGATCCTTCCTACTGAGTGTCACACTGATTCAGGTGCTCTAGGATGTTTGCCTTGACTGAGCAGACTGGAGCCCGGTGGTACCATCAGGTCCCACCAGGAACTTCTCAAAGTTCCAGTGGATATCATGGCCCTTCATGGACTCCCCAGAGAGTGGCTTCATGAGCCCAAAATCTCAGAGTGGGGAGGGCAGGAGTTCTTCAGGAAAGTAAAGACCATCTGTTCATTTTCTTCATTCACATCCCCTTTCTCAAAGAACTGGAAACTGGGGACGAAGCCACCACCTGGACGCACATACTTGAGTCCAGAAGGGATCTCTGAGTTCCTAGCTGTTTCTTGTTTTCCAGTCTGCTTACAGGAAAACCTAACACAACTAGACCAAAAGTCTTAAGTTCCTCTTGTAGTGTTGCAGACCGTGTAAGACTAGTCAGAGGTTCGAGGCCCTCTAGGGCCGAGTGTAACAAATGAGGCCACTGGCAGTTAATGGCAAATTGCTTTCATATTAATATTCAGGTATATATATTAAATTAATACACTGGAGCCTTTGACAATCCACAGATAAATGTGATATTTTCCTAAAGCCGAGACTGAAGGTTGCAAGGTTAAGCCTTTCTCCAAAGGATTAACTAAAAATGTCTTAGCTACTTCACAGCTCTTTGTTCCATAGACAAAGAACCCATCCTCCCTAACCCTTTTCCAGGTGCAGCCCATTCACCTGGGCGTCTGGAGTCCTCCTGCAGACCTGGCTCAGGAAGCCAAAGCAGCAGGACTCCGCCCAAGCTTTTGTCTTTAACTCTCACCTTCCCCCAACTATGCTCAGGGGCTATAGATATGTTAATTGGGCCTGAGAATCCAAGTTGCTGGCCTGGGATTCGAACCAGTGAAGTACTATGTAAAGTTACCTGAATGTCTGGAAAAGTACTGATGTTAGCTGTACCTTGCCTAAGTCCCTCCCAGCTTGGTGTGAAGCTCCTCCCCTGAATAAAGCAGAGGCCCGGGCCTCCCCAGGTGCATTACTGGTTGGCAGGCATGGAGTAAAGATCAGTGCATTACTGGTTGGCAGGCATGGAGTAAAGATCAGTGCATTGCTGGTTGGCAGGCATAGAGTAAAGATAACAGTGCATTACGACTGGCAAGGCATGCGCTTCAGCATGCAGGGTGCACAGTCCAGCCTTGCAACCATACTGCCTGTTTAGCTAACATGTTCACTATGCAGGATATTACGGCCTTTGTGGCTGAGATGTTTGCAATGCAGGATCTGCCTGATGCCAGTCCAGCATTCACTCTGGTTTCGGAGTGTCTCTTTGTCTCTCTCTTTGTCTCCTTTGTCTCCTTTTGTGTATTCTGGATATATATGAATCGCCGTCAGGTATCCTCTCCTCGTGAACTGAACCCCAATGTCGAGGCGGGTCCCCGGCATTGTAGTACGTTCAGTTCTTCTTTTTCTCCTGGTTCAGGCTTGGCTGAACGAAGCCCACCAGGATCAGCAGGAAAAGATAGCAAGCCCAGAACTGCCTAATACAGTAGGAGATACCAGCGGGAGTTCAGCATCTGTTTTGAGCATTGTCTTTTCTACTAGCTTAAGTTTTCTGTGCATTAACATCATTAACATGACAAGCTGGAGTTGCTCTATGGCAGAAGAATTTGAGTACATCTTTATGTTTGTAATGAAACTTGCTAGGATTACTAAAATATTCTTTGTTTTGTGTTGCTGTGTTTGTTTGTTTGTTTTTTTTAACTAGAGTTGGACAAGTTATAACCATCAAAGCAAAAGTTACTAGAGCATTCAGCACAAGCATGGAGGTAAGAGGGGATGTTTCTTACTTCTTGTTACTAGGGCTGATCTCTTCATTGCAGAGAAAAGTGGAGGAAACCTGGAATAATGTTTGAAATCTACTAGATTTACAAAGCTCTTGAACTGGTGGTCAAGATCATAGATAAATAAATAATAAGAAGGTGGTGTTTCCCAGACAACCATGGTACTAAAATTTTCTATAATGCAGCATTCTTTATACTGTATATGTTGTTGCTGTTGTTAAGTACTGTGGAATTGGTTCCGACTCATAATGACCCTGCACAGGGTTTTGAAAGCTGTAAATTTTTACGGAAGCAGAAAGCGTCATCTTTCTCCTGTGGAACAGCTGGTAGTTTCGAACTGCCAACCTTGAGGTTAGCAGCCCGATTCATAACCACATTACCAGAGTTCCTTCATACTATATATAAGAGCACACAAAAAGTAAGCATACATGGGCACTTTCTTGATTCTTTTCAAGGTAGGGGTTTTTGTTTTTTGTTTTGTCTCAATTATTCGGATTCAGGGACAACTAACAACAGCAACTATTATTCTGGCTCTACTTGTTCTCCATTCTCTCACTTCCCAGTGGAAACTAATCCCATGATTAACTAATTTTTGTAAGTAACTGTTCTTCAGTAACAAGGTAAATTTAGATGGTTTTTCTTCTGCAATCACTTGACATTCTTTTCTTTACCACAGTAGTGACTACAACACTCTCAGGGGCTTTTAAAGGTTAGATTAGCAGGAAGAGAGTTGCTGGCATTCATATTGCTTTTTCTGGATTGATTAGTAGCAGTTCCTTTGATGCCTGACACACAAGCCTTGTCATGACTTTCAGCATTGACCACACCTAAGACTTTACTTGCCTTCAGTCTCTTTCTTGACGTATTCAAGTAAACATAATAGAAAACACTTAGAGAAGTCAGAAAAGAAATGCTTGTGGAATGCTCAGCTCCATCAGTTGAGATGGTACTTCTGGACCCTGATTGCCAATGTGGGGCTCTGTGGCCTTTGCCACCCAATAGCCTCGGTGCTTGGTCTCCTGCCAGGGAGAGGCATTCTCCTTTTTATTGAACCCAAACATAAACTCCCTTTTCTCTTTTTCTTCTTATTCCTTGAGATAGGGTAGAATTTCCAAAGGTACTTTGACTATATTTTACTTTACTTGGATTCACAATCAACACCCATGGAAGCAACAGTCAAGAAATCAAACAGCCTATGTGGTGCTGTGGGTTAATGCGCCATACTGCAAAGTCGGTTTGAAATGCAAGGTTGGTGGTTTAAGCTCATCAGTCACTCTTTGGAAATCCTATACAGGGTCACTATGGGTCAGAACTGACTCGATGGCACACAGCAACAATAATAGCAATGGACAAATTAGCTATAAAAGACCTCTTTAAGGTGTAGAAAAACAAAGATGCCACTTTGAGGACTAAGGGGTTCCTGACCTGAGCCTTAGTATTTTCAATAGCCTCATCTGCATGTGAAGTCTGGACAATGAAGGAAGACAGAGAAAGAATTGATGTCTCTGAATTATGGTGTTGGCAAATAATATTAAATATACCAATTGCCAGAAGGAGAAACATATTTGTCTTGGAAATAGTACAGACAAAACGATCCTTAGAAGCAAAGATGGCGAGACTTTGACATGTTATCAGGGAGGGACTAGTCCCTGGAGGAAAATATCATGTTTGATAGAGGGTCAGCAAAATAGAGAGACCCTTAATAGTGGGTGACTGTTGACACAGTGACTACAACACTGGCCTCAAACATAAGAACAATTTTCAGTATGTATGTAAGGTTGTATGTAAGGTCATTAAAAGTAAAACTGACTCTAAGGTGCTTAACAACAACTCTGACTAAAAATTAAGGAGAAAAAAATCCACTGTGTTAGCAAAGCAAAGATTCCTGATCTGAAAGAAAGCAAATCCTAGGCTCAACAGATTTTCTAGGCCCATTCCAACATGCACAGTTGTCTTCTTTCATTTTATGTGAATCATGATCAAATGGTCTCTCAGTTTTGTCTTCCTTTGCACCACCAGGTGCCTGGTCCATGTAAATTTCTTGTTCTGTTTCTAATTTTAGATGCTAACTAAACATCTAAATTTTTAGTCTTTAAAATAGAACATACCCTTTAGAGGAATCCCATTCAATTTCAGTTTTCTGTCATGGACTAAGGCCAGCCCTCTACTCATTTCCTAAGCAAAAATTGTTGACTTCAACCTAACTCTGAGGAATGCTTTCTCAGTTTCACCCTTACCTCAGGGGATTCTCTCATTCCCCTGTTAGTAGGTCTCTTCCCTCCTCTCAAGGTCCTTAGGTGGCACCAACAGTTTGCACACGACTGGTGGAGTCATGGTGTGGTGCTGTAGGATAAGCACTGGACTGCAAGATTGGTTTGAGTCGCAAGGTCGGTGGTTCAAACTCACCAGCCACTCTTCAGAAACCTACACAGGGTTGCTATGAATCAGAACAGACTCGATGACACTTAGCAATAACAATGGATATTAAGCTATAGTGTAGCTTTGTAGGATAATCACTAGTTTACTAACCACAAGTCAAACTTACCAGTTGCTCCTTGGAAATCCTATACTGGTTGCTATGAGTCGGAACTGACTCAATGGCACTTAACAACAACAACAACTAAGCTATAGGGAGGAGCATGGTGGCTCTAGAAGATAAATATCAGCAGTTTGAGCCCACCAGCTACTCCGCTGGAGAAAGATGAGGCTTTCTGCTCCCACAAAAATTTACAGCTTGGGAAACCCTATACAGGGTAGATATGAGTTGGCATCAATGAGACAACACTTAACAACAGCAACATAAATATAAAAGATTCCTAGTGTTGGAGTCCTTATGTGGTGCTGTGGGTTAATGTGCTGGATTGCAAAGTCAGTTTGAACCACAAGGTCTGCTACTTGGAAACCCTACACAGGGTCACTATGGGTCGGAACCGACTCAATGACACTTAACAACAACAAACCCTTTCCTGAAGAATTCTGTTCTCTTTGATATACACCACATCAAAATGGCAGCTTTGCCATCCTCAAATGACTCAAATTGTACTCCTTTGAAATGTTCTATGAGTTTGGGGGACATAAAGAAACCTGAAGAGACAAGATCAAGGCTGTAGGATGGCTGGGGTAAGTTTCCCAATGAAATTCATGTAGGATTGCCCTTACTACCCTCAAAGACTGAACTGGTGCATTGTCATGAAAAAAAAAAAAGAAAAAAAAAATCCTCAGTGCGACTTTCCTGAGCATTTTCTCACCAATGCAGTTATCCATTTTCTTAAAACTTCTTTAGAATAAGCCCCTGTGATCATCCTGTGCCCTTTGAGAAAATCTATCAAGATAAACTCTTTTGAATTCCAAAAACGAGTTACATGACTTTCTGAGCTGATCTCCCTACAGTGAATTTAACTGACCCAGAAAATCCTCTTGGAAACCATTGTTTTGATTGGACCTTTTCTTTTGAAGGCTCCCTAACAAGACTAAGACAGTGCATAGCTACAGCCATCCACTAAACACAGAAACATGTTTAAACAGGTTTAGTTTGTAATAAACTCATACATGTATGGTCTGGAATTCTAGTAACAATACTTTTTGACTTATACTCGTGTGTGTGTGAATATATGTGCATATATATATATTTTTTTTTTTTTAATTTTTTTTTGAAAAAGAAATTTCACTTAAAGGCTAAAATAATGTTATATGGGTGATGGAATGATTACTGATGATATTTGATATTTATTCTGGATAGTCTAATTTTGTTTTTATTGTTTTACTTATTTGTGTATGTATTTTTAAAGTTTCATAATAAATATATTTTATAATCAGAAAAATAGTTATTCAGTTTTATAGCATGTCTCAGAAAGAACAGCACTGCTTCAAAATAAATTTTTTTAAAAAAAATGAAAGAAAAGAATGGTAAAGTGCATAGCTGAATTTTGCATGCTACAGTTGAATCTGTTATCTGAGCAGCTGAAAGTTTATCTAAGTTTTGTTTTCATTTTAGATCAGTATCAAGGTCATAGTCCAGGACATGTTCACTGGTATTGAGAAACTTGTTAGTGTGGCTTTCTCTACGTTTGTAACCAAACCAGTTGGAAACGAAAAGGTAATTGTGTGCAAAGATATTTTACGTGTCATTTAGGGACATACTAACAATTGCATGAGAATTATTATAGGGATTAAAAGTTATTTCTTCTTATCAAAAGATGTACCTTCCTGAGATTTATTATTGACCAGTATTTTTCTGAAATGTTAACATTCTGTGGTAACACTGCAGTATTACGAGTTCTCTATTTTAAAGAAAAGAAAATGTAACTAATTATAAAAGAGGGAAAACAGTTGTGTTTTAAATAATCTGAAGGTCATGTTAGGTCCTCAAAAATATTGCTTCCCGGTTTAGTTCTTTTTGTGGTTACATACTCAAAATTGGGTTTAAAAACAGCCAGAGCAATCTAAGCAAGCACTTGTATGTTATGGTCCAAACTTTTTTTTTTTTTTTTTCCTACTTGAAGGTAAAATGTCAGAGTTATGTGTATTGAACTTTAAAACTAAGTTTTCAGGTGTATGGTGTAAAAACAGCCATAAAAGAAATACAAGGACTAATACGCCTGCCCCAAATGTTTGCTTGGCCTTAGACTCATATTAGCAGCTGGGGATTTACTCATTATAGTGTCCTGGCATTCCTTGTTAGGGGCCAGATGTCTGTGACTGGGGATGGGGTGGAGGGACCATTGGAGCTAAACATTTTTAATGTAACAATCCATTTAGAATTTAAATCTTTCATTCTAAGGTTATCTCATGCCAAATACCAGAGGTAAGCACAGTGGCTTCTCCCAGCTTCACTTTGAAGGGAAAAGGAGTATTTGTCCTTTTGACTGGAGAGCTGGGACAATGCAATGTTTCCTCTGTATCCAATAGAGGTAACAGCAGAACCTCACTCGCAGTGCTGGTCCTCCACTGAGCCAGCAGGGGGCAGATGTCCCGACAGAGATTTGTGCACTGGACCACTACTTCCACTCTGCCCAACATAAAATAGACTCCACGGCAAGTTCATGTTGCCATGAGCAATGTTTTCAAACTCAAGTTCATAGATGGTGGTGTTGGCTGTGTGCCATGGAGTCGGTTCCGACTCATAGCCACCCTGTACAGGGTTTCTGAGGCTGTAAATCTTTAGGGGAGCAGAAAGCCTCATCTTTCTCCCGCGGAACAGCTGGTAGTTTCGAACTGCTCATCTTGAGGTTTGCAGCCCGATTCGTAACCACTATGCTACCAGAGCTCCTTGTTTATAGATACCAGCTAGTATATCACTTATATTGCTGCACCTCAAACAATGGACTCACTAGTGTAGAAACTCAGAACCTATACTTTGATTCCTAGTGTGGCGCTGTAGGATCAGCACTGGACTGCTAATCACAAGGTCGACAGTTCAATCCCATCAGCTGCTCCTCAGAAACTTAATACAGAGTCACTATGAGTTTGAATTGTCTTGATGGCACTTAACAACAACAATGGAGACACTAAGAATCTATGCTTTGACAAAGCACCCCAAGGAGTGATATGTACATTAAAATCTAAGACATTGAGATGGATCTTGCCAGCTATTCTGTTTTTCTTGTAATCCTCCTGAAACTCCTAATAATCTAAAAAGTCATAGAATGAGAGCCTGTGGGAATGGGTGTTAAGTTCCCAAGTCACAGAGAAATGTCTGAGAGAAACTGGCAGAATGAAGAAGCAACATGGGTTCTTGGTTCTGTCGCACCATCTTTCCAGTATGCTGAAAGTTACTTAAAGCTTTGTATTGACAAGTTGTTCCTTTCGGTTTTGTCTCAGATATTGCTTTTACCATGTGACAAGATTTTCAAATTGGGGATCTCTTGGTGCATGATCACTCTTTCTAGGGATCACCTTTATTCCCTCCCTCTGATGTCCTCATTTTGCAAAAGGTAGAAAACATCTCTTGATAGGAATTTAGTACAGTCTCTCACCTCGCTTATTCATTTGAGGAGTTTCTTATTTTGTTGCTCTTCTGGAGAATTTAAAAATCAGGAAAATTTAATATTTGGAGATCTTTATAAAGCATAGTTACGTAGTGTTTTAACAAACAAGACTCATTGACTGTTAGACTAAAAGATGTTTTAAGACAAAAGCTTTAGTCTAAGTATTGTGTGTGAACATACTCATTAATACTCTATTGTTACTTTGAGTTGGTACAAAATTCATATTGTGATTTTCTAATTTAACAAAGAAACAAAAGATTTTTTTTTCTTTCTCTAGGTTCGGTTAAGACCAGTCACACTTTTGACTGAACAAGATCATGTAGAACATAACCTGGCTTCTGAAAGAAGGAAAGTTCGATTACAATATGAGCATACTTTTAACAACTTAATGAAGGAAAGTAGCAAATTGGATGGTCAGTAAATATACTTTATAGGAAATTTAATCCTATGGCTATAGCAAGGAAAGGGGTCCTTTCCTTGACAGGCACACTTGGTAATATAAGCACACTTATCTTCACCTTATTGTTATAATTTGGCCCTGGTGATGCTAAGTATCTTTTCCAACAATTCCAGTGCCTGAAAAAAGAGGAGTTGGCCATTCAGAATTATAACTTAAGACTTATTTAAATTGGAGTATCTCCAGAGAGAGAGAAGAAAATTGGGATGGCAGGGGCCAGGCAGTACTTATTAGTAATAACATGCGGTCAATTATTGAATGATGAAGTAACAATAGTAATGCTGTACAATTGTGTGGTTCTCCACAGATTACAAGGTCACTGGGTGGAACAAATCATATGCACTAGGCTACTAACCAAAAGATTGTCAGTTCAAATCTATCTAATGGCACATAGAAGAAAGGACTGTCTTCTACTTCCGTACGATCGTTGTTGTTAAGTGCTATCGAGTTGGATCCGATTCATAGCGACCCTGTATAGGGTTTCCTAGGAGGAGATGGTGGGTTTGAACTGCCTACTTTGTGATTCTCAGTCCAGTGCTGATCCTACAGCGCCACACCAGAAGTCTTCTATACAATTACAGCCATTGAAAACCCTATGGAGTTCAGTTATACTCTGAAACATGGAGGGGAAGGGAGTTGCCATAAATTGAAACTGACTTGAAGACAACTGGTTCATAGCTTTCTGAGCAGTTTCTCAAACATTATTACATATGCGCTACAAATAATCTCATCGGATAAGGAAATGGTATCTCTGAGCAATGAAGAAACTGCTGTACATCACATGAGCAATGACTATAGTTTCTGCTCCTGTTTCTTGACTCTTTCCATAATATGGTGTTGTATGTCCCAGAGTTTCTTTATACTTTGACACTGCTTTTCCTGACACTTGGTGGCCTCGAGGAGCCAGAATGACAGTGAAGAGCAGGAGCCCAGTTCTTCCTTTTTGTCTTACCTGCCCACTCACAGCCCTAGGGGAGGTGACTTGTGAGTGGGCAAAAGAAGTGGGTGAGGGGAGGAAGTGGAGCTCTGTAACCAAGGTCCCCCTTGCTCACCACTGCCAGGACAGGGACCTCACAGAATCTTCTATAATCTATGACCCCTGAATTAGTTTCCCAGAGCATCTATATCAAAAGACCACAAGTTAGATGGCTTAAAACAATGGAAATTTACTATCTCAGATGTCTGAGATAGTAGTCTAAATTCAGGGTGTTGGCAGTGCCATGTTCTCTCAGAAGGGTCTAGGGGAAGATCCTTTCTGGTTTCTCTTGGTTTCAGGAATTCCTTGATTTGCAAATACATCTTCTCATGACTGTCATCCTCCTTATTTATCCTCATTTATGTGAACACCTCTTAGATAGGATTCAGGTCCACCTTACTCTGGGTTGACCTATGTTAACTTAACTGATCTTAACATCTTTAAAGACTGCATTTCTAAACAAGGTAACGTTCATAGAATTAGTGATTAGGACTTCAGTATATCTTTTTGGAGGATACAAATTAATCTATAGTGGCTTCAAAGAAAGACACACGAGGAAGAGGAAGGAAAAGAAGGGACCAAAAAGTACCAGAATAAGAACGTGAAAAGAGAGGAAGAGGAAGAGAGTACATAAAGGCCAGAGAAGAGAGGATAGACAGAAAGCAGATGATAGAAATGTGGAGGTTTTCTTCCGACCCCGCTGATAGCATCATGATCCCAGGCAGCCACACAAAAACCCTCAAACTTTGGAGGAAAAAAATGCTTTAAGATGAGCTTATGTGTGACTGAACTTTTAAAAATAAGTCAGAATTGATTTGATGGCACTTCATAACAACAGCAACAACAACCCACTACCAAGATAGTTTTAAGGAAATGAAGACTTTTACATCATTAAAGAACTATGTTGAGAAGAGTGAGTCTCTTTTGACAAAGACATTCTATGTACTAAACTATATTTAGAATTCATTTTGGTAAAGTAATGAGAAAACTGAACTATGAAAACAAACCTAAGGCAACCAAGATGAGAATTAACAGAAAACAAAACCCCAAAATGCAATCAACCCCCAAAGCACCCTGCTGTCTTTACATTCCTAAAATCCCAGGAAATAAATGAAATGACAGATCAAATATTTATTAATGGTCAAATCCTTACGATGTGTAACAAGTAGATCTGTAGGGGTATCTTAGGAAGATCTTAAGCATTAATGGATGGTTATCTTGGTTTCACGGTCCTTCTTTTACAATTGACTTTTTTTTTAAAAGCCTTACTTTTGCAGCAGATTTGCATAATACAATACGTTGTTTGATTTCTTGACTGCTGCTTCCATGAGTGTTGATGGTTGAGCTGAGCAAAATGAAGTGTTTGCACTTCATCCAAAATAGATCTATTGGTTCTTCTGGCAGCCCATGGCATTTTCAATATTCTCCTCCAAAACCGTAACTCAAATGCATTAATTTTTCTACAGTCTTCCTTATTCACTGTCCAACTTTCACATGCATATGAGGTTATTGAAAATACCATGGCTTGGGTCGGGCGCACCTCAGTCTTATGGTAAAAAGATACAACCTTGGCACACAGCTTTCCTCAGGAGCACAATTAAATGTTCTGAAATATACTTTTGTCTCAATACTATTCATAGTTTGTTATGATCCACACAGTTGGATGCCTCTCCATTGTAGTCACTAAAGCACAAGTAAACATCTTTCTGGTATTCTTCATTTTCAGTCAAGATCCACCAAGTATCAGCAATGATATCTTTTATTCTACATCCTTTTTAAAATCTGGCTCAACTCTCTGTGTCGCTGCAGTTGTTTTTTAATGTTCTTCTATAACATTTTACTTGCATGTGATATTAAAGATATTATTCAATGATTTACAATTCTGTTGGGTACTCTTTCTTTGTAATGAGCACAAATATGGATCTCTTCCAATCAGTTGGCTATGTAGCTGTCTTCCAAGTTTCTTAGCATAAATGAGTGAGCATTTCCTGTGCTGCATCAGTTTGTTGAAACATTTCAATTTGTTTCCCATCAATATCCGAGGCCTTGATTTTTGTAATACTTTCAGTGTAGCTTGGATTTATTCCTTCAGTACCATTGATTTTTTATCATGTGGTTCCCCTTAGAATAGTTGAACATTGATCATCTCTTTTAGGTACAGTGACTCTGTGTATTCATTCCATCTTCCTTTGAAACGTTCAGCGTCTTTTAATATTTAACCCTTAAAATCCTTCAGTATTGCAAGTCAAGACTTGAAGTTCTTCTGTTCTTTTAGCTTGATAAATGCTAAGTGATTCTTCCCTTTTGGTTTTTTAACCTACAGATCTTTGCACATTTCATTATAATGCTTGACTTTTTCTTCTTGGGCTGTCCTTTGAAATTTTCTGTTCAGCTATTTTACTTCCTCATTTCTTCTGTAACTTCAGCTTCTTTATGCTGAAAAGCAAGTTTCAGAGTCTCTTCTGACAACTACCTTGGTCTTTTTCTTTCTTTCCAATCTTTTTAATGACCATTTGCTTTCTTCCTGTATGATGTTCTTGATGTCATTCCACAACTTTTCTGGTCTTCAATCATTAGTGTCTAATACATCAAATCTATTCTTGAGATGGTCTGTAAATTCAGGTGGCATATACTGAGGCTATATTTTGGCTCTTGTGGATGTCTTTTAATTTTCTTCAGCTTCAGTCTTAACTTTTCAAATGAGCAATTGATGTTCCGTTCCACAGTTTGCCCCTCGCCTTGTTTTGACTGATAATTCTGAACTTCTCTGTTTCTTCCCACAGATGTCATCATCAATTTGATTCCTGTGTATTGCATCTGGCCAAGTGCACATTATAGTAGCCTTTTATGTTGTGGAAAAATGATATTTGCAATAATAATAGCCTAGTGTGAAGAGACAACCTTGTCACACACCTTTTTAAATTTTAAACCATTCAGTGTTCCCATGTGTTCTGTTCAAACTACTGTTTCTTGGTCCAGGTACAGATTCCTCATGAGTACAATTAAGTGTTCTGGAATACTCCGCAATGTTATCCATAGCTTGTCATGATCCACCAATCAAAAGCCTTTGCATAGTCACTAAACCACAGGTAAACATCTTTCTGATATTCTCTGCTTTCAGCCAAGATCCATTGGACATCAGCAATGATATCTCTCATTCTATGGCCTCTTCTGAATCTGGCTTGAAACTCTGGGAGTTCTCTGTCAATGTATGCTTGCAGCCATTTCTGTATTATCTTTAGCAAAACTTTACTCACATGATATATCAAAGAGATTGTCCGAGGATTTCCGCATTTCATTAGGTCACCTCTCTTTGGAATGGGCACAAATATGGATCTCTTCCAACTATCTCAGCCAGATAGTTGTCTTCCAAATTTCTTGGCAGAGATGAGTGAGTGCCTCCAGTGCCGCCTCACTTTCTTGAAAGGTTTCAGTTTTTATTCCATCAATTCCTGGTGCCTTGTTCTTTGCCAGTTTGACTCATTAACAACTTGTGATATGCAGATGATACAACCTTGCTTGCTGAAAGTGAAGAGGACTTAAAACATTTACTGATGAAAATGAAAGAGCAAAGCCTTCAGTATGGGTTACATCTCAATGTCAAAAAAACAAAAATCCTCACCACTGGACCAGTAAACAACATTCTTATCAATGGAGAAAAGATTGAAGTTGTCAAGGACTTCATTCTTCTTGGATCAACTATCAACACGCAGAGAAACAGCAGTTAATAAATCAAATGACATGTTGCATTAGGCAAATGTGCTGCACAGAACCTTTTTAAAGTGTCAAAGAGCAAAGATGTCAGCTTGAAGATAAAGGTGTGCCTGACCCAATCCATGGTATTTTCAAAAACCTCAAATGCACGTGAAAGCTGGACAGTGACTAAGGAAGACCGGTGAAGAATTGATGCTTTTGAGTTATGGTGCTGGGCGAGAATATTGAAAGTGCCATGGGCTGCCAAAAGAACCAATAGATCTGTG